TTCAGTTCGTCATCATCAACTCAACAACAAAGAGGCAAAAAATACAAAATACCAGGGTCTCCAAGCAGAGCTAACTCAGCACCGTCCCTCACCGCCCTGGCCGCCACAGCTTTTCTCAACCCTTTCCTCCTCCGTCTCCAAAGGTAATATCTCTCCCTCTCTTTCTTTCACACACCTCAAATAACCATAACAATGTGAAATCAGAATCAATAAGGGGCGAAATCATAACATGCAAATAACAAAACCTTAATGAGATTAAAACGTAGAATATTACCTTGAATCTGTCGCCCTAGCGATTCATTGGAGGGAAGAGGAAGTTTGAGAACGCCGGTGGCCATGGGCAAGGGAAGCTCAGAAGCTGGCGTTGAGGAAGACGAAGAGGAACGCGTGAAGTGAAGAGAATAGCAACGGGCGCTGTAAACCCTGAAGCCTTTCCCAAATGACATAAAAATTCATAACCCTAAAAAACGTTGTTTCAATTAAATGGGCCATAACCCGTTTCCCTTGCTCAAACCCATCTCATTTCTGCTAGTTTCACCCCCCCCCCCTGTTTGATCAGTTTAGCCCATACAAATTGCTTATTATCTACCCCTTTAATTTTTTTGATACCCCTCTTTCTATTTATTTTCTTTTATCTTTTTTTTTAGAATTTTATTAATTTACTTTAATTAGTAAATTTAATCAAATAGATGTGTAGTTCTAATTAAACAAATTTTAATAATTTGACCAATCTTATTAGTTTAAGTTTAGGATTAATTTAGTAATTTTAGTATTGTTTTTAATTAGATTTAAGTTAATAAATTTTAGAGTTTAATTTAGTTTAGAATTATTTAGTAATCTTAGAATTTTAATTTAAGTTTAGATTACTTTGTTATATCTTTCTTTTACATTTAATTTTCTTTGTCTTTTCAATTGATTTCCTTATTGTTTATTTATATTTGTTTCTTTACTCGAAATTATTTCGTTGTGATTTTTATTCTTGTGGATTCTTTGAGTATTTATATTTGAATATTCATCTTTGTGTGCCCAATCCAAGAGAAAAATGATTAAACTTGTTGACTTCATGTCCTCAAATCCAATCACGCGAATACCTTCATTTCATTGAAAACTTAAGATAATTTTCCCAAATATTCGATTTTTTCAAAACTCATACCTTTTAAGTCAAAACTTCGACATTAGGTCGTCGTATCTTCAAAAACCCGTCCGTACCCCTTTTTGGCCAAAACAATTTATTTTTAATCAAACAAACAAATTTTAATAAACAGATATTTCAAAAGGTTCCTATAGAATACTATAGATGCATTGGGTGCTAATACCTTCCCATTGTATAACCAACCTCCGAACTCTAGACCTCTTTTCAAAACGCCTTGTATTTTCATTACTTTTAAAAGTATTATTTTGCATTGCATACTTTAGGGTTTTATTTCGCTCTTTTCCCTTTTCCCTTGGAAATAATAAAGCGCGGTGGCGACTCTTGCTTTTGTGAGACGAATTAATCAATAATTCGATCTCCGATTTACCCCGCTACATTTTTTATCGCTACAACGGTTCATAGAGAGAAATGAGTATCAGACCTTTGTCTTTCTCTTTTCATCATTTATTATCTCTTGGAAATATTAAAATGAGTTAAAAATAATTAAAGGAAACATTGACTGGACCAATTCACAATACCATGAGGCGGTTGGCTTATTAGTCTATAGGGTTTGCTTCTCCTTGAACAAATTCGAGTGGGCTTGGGAATGAGGCCCAACTCGGTCCGAGTTTTTCTACCGCACCACACCGTATTTTATTTTTCTTTTTTATATTTTTAATTTGTATTTAATTACTTTTGTTTTTGCATTTATTTTGTTTTCTTTTATTGTATTGTTTTTTAAGGTTAATATAATTAAATGGTTGTATTTAATTTAATCAATTTAATTGTTGGTTATATTAATTAATTCCTTTTAATTTGTTTAATCATTTTTTCTTATTTATTTTATTTTGCTTGAATATTTAAACTTTTATTTTTGTGTGTGCTTGATTAAAATTTATTTCGTATGCTTTTAATTGTTCACCACCATCATACTCGCACTTGCGCACATTCATAACTTACTCCTGGGCTTTCTTACAGTGAGACATAGTCGATTAATTATTCCAATTAATCTTCTAGAAGACTAACTCACTTTGCTAGTACACTTGTAGTTTAATTTCGATTTAATTGCGTTATCGTTTCATTGATCATAAATGTACTTGTGTGAGCCGCCTTGTATGGGCTTGCGTTTCACTTGCTTATCATTATCCTCATTTGGAAAGGTGTTCTCCCATTTCCATGTGATGTAACACAATTTTATTGCTTTACTTTATTTTGCTTTCTTGCTTGCTTATGTCTTGTCGTTGCATGAAATAAAATTAAACCCTTGCATTCTTTGTCCATATACCAAGCTCATAACCAATTTAATAAGTCAATTGTGCTTCAGCAATCGAAATCAACCACCCCATGCATGCTTGGTCCATATACCAAGCCCATAACAAATTTGATAAGTCAAGTTTGCTTTTGTAATCGCAATTGACCTTTTCTCTTTTTATCACGCCATTTTCATAATACAGTTTCAAATCTCGATCTAACGCCGAGTTGATATTTCAAAAAAAATTCATAATAAATTTCGAGTATTTAGATCATTGGTTGTTAGACCAATTGTCCAAAGACTCGCACAAAAGACTTAATAAGCGTGAACCTTATTTCACTTCAACATTTTCATAAGAAAACTCTTGGGTTGAGAGACGACTCGTTGAGCTTCATTGCTCCTCTAGTTTCTAGTATTTGAATCGTAGGATGTTAGTCCTATTATTTGATACTCGTCACCCACATAAAAATAACTCCAACTCATCAAACCTCACCCATGTGTGAGTGCCTTTTTCTAAATCTTCACTCACATGCGATCTTTCATCGCTCACATGCAAATCACTTAGTGAGTCTTATCGCCCACGTACGGTTAAGCTCCTTTTCATAAATAAAATCAACTAACCAACAATTTTGTCTTTTTCTAGCCTAACTACGAGGCTCTGACTTTCCCATTGCACGAGGGAGTATGTAGGCACAAGATGTGATGTCTTGCCGAGCATAATAAACTAAAAAATCAAAAACCCTTTTCTCTCTCTTTTCTCAAATAAGTAGAAGATCGCAAACTATCATTCAAACACACACTAACTAAATAGTTCCAATCGAGTACGCTAGACCTGAGGGGTGCTAATACCTTCCCTTGCATAATCGACTCCCAAACCCTCTATTTTGCCTCGAAGACCATCTTATCTAGGGATGGCAACATGGCGGGTCAAGGGCGGGTTTAAGAACACCCAGACTCGCACCCGCCACCTAGACTCATACCCTTCCCTAAACCCGGTTGGAGCTAATATTTGTTTCCCTGCCCCTGCCCCAACAAGAAACGGGTTTCCCCGCACCCGCCCCACATCCGCCCGAATAAAATTTTAATTTTTTTTAAATATATACTTTTTTTCAATAAAAATCAAAATCAAAATTAAACTAAATAATTGATTATTTTAAAATAATTTTTTATGTTTGATATTTTTATTTAAATTTTATTTAAAAAATAATAATAATTCTAATAAACATGATATTATAACATTAAAAAGTGTAAATGAATAAGAAAACAATTTAAAATAAATTAAATAAATTAAATTTAGTTGGCGGGTGCGGGTGCAGGGCGGGTACTAGCATCACCTGCCCCCGCACCCGTAAATAAAAACTGAGTTCTCCCTGCACCCGCCCCCGATTATACCGGGTTTCCCCCGATAATTTCGGGGCGGGGGAGGCTGGGGCCCAACGGAGGCGGATTTATTTGCCATGCCTAATCTTACCCTTTGCTTGTGGGTTTTATTTGATATTTTACCTTTCCTTCTTGAAAAAAATAAATCTCGGTGGCGACTTCATTGTTCGAATATTTTTTTCGAGTTGCTTTAGATGGCGACTTCATTGGGGAGAAATCTCTAAGCGAGTCCACCCTAGTTTAGTTATTTGTGTGTTTGAGTTCTTTATTATTTTATTTTGATTTCTTCTTGGTGCTTTTATTCTTGCTTATGTTTATATTTCAGTCTTTTATTTCCTCATGCCTTGTTTATTATCCTGTTGATATATTCATTATATGGGATTATTCTAGATTGGATCATTGGTATTGTGATAAACGCCCACTACCCAGGCTTTAGTGTACCTAAGTTAGGACGTGGTTGTGTAGTTTAGATCCAGTGGAAATCTGTGTCTTGTGGATCTACGTGAAAACCCATCTTAGAGTTGAGCCTTTTAAGGGAGTTATTGTCTCGTATGTTAGTGTGTTGACATCAACTTCTATACAAAGGTTCCATAACTATAAGAGACCTTTAGAATACCCTAAACCTCTGGCTTTCCAAATCTATGGTTGTGTAAGGACCCCACTTAGATAAGACCATTTTGAGGATATTGTTGGCTCGTAAGTTTACTTGTGATTGATGATAATATTTTCAAAAAATTGACCCCAAAAGCCATGAAACCCTAGAGGTAACCTTATGAGGGTATTATTGGGTAAAAGCCTAGAGTTATCCTATCATAGGGAGCCTACCTAAATAGGTTGTTTTGTCATCTAATTACTCATATCATTCCTGATTTACGTCTTCGTGGACCCGTTCCTATCATTGTGTTGCATTCCATATGTGACATTTTATCCCATGAACATCATTATTGCATATCAAAAACAAAAAATTATGCATCTGCATTCATCATCATGCATTCTTACTACAAAAATCAGAATACTCATACCTATTTCCATTAACACAGTTAACAAGGCAAGTTGGTTTCCCGATATTGCTTTGGACTCGATGCATGTCTCATAAATACATGACTGAGCTCGAAGGGACTTGAAACTGTTAAGAGAGGAAGTCAATCAGCTGAAGAGCCAAATGGGCCATATCATGGGATCCTACAGTTATTATTGAGAAGGGAAGCAAACTTTTCATCGATCACTACAACAAAAATGGATATTCCTACAACTCTTCCTAATTTTATCTCAGTCCCAGAGCAATATCGTCTAGTGGTCACTCAGGTACTGGTTAATAGTCCATCTGCCAAGGATCCTCCTCAACCCTCATTTCCAAAGCTTCATGATCAACAGTCTTCGTCTATCCCTCGACAAAGTCAAGGAAATCAATTGTAAGGCAAGGATAAGGACAAACCTCCAAGGAAAAAACAGAAAGAGACTCGCCGCATTGATCCAATTCCAATGACATATACTCAATTATGGTTGTATATGATTAAGTTTAAAGCAATAACTCCCAGTCCTACTTAACCAGAAAAGTTTCCATTCTCTTAGGGGTATAATCTGAATGTCAAGTGCGACTTTCACAGTGGGGTAGCAGGTCACTCCATTGAATATTGCATAATTCTTAAGTAAATTGTACAAGACTTTATTGACAAGGAGATACTCTCTATTGCAGACATTCCCAATGTGGCTACCAATCCCATGCCATGCCAAGTACCAAGACACAAGGGACATTCCTAAAAGGAAGCTATCATATGGTAAATCTCATCCTTGTTGCTGATACTCACTAGGCCCTTTATCATTTCATTCTGCAAATTTTTCTTGTTTGTAATGTGTTGTTTTGCATTTGAACTTTGTTATTTTTAATCATAATCTTAATGAAATGAGCATTGCATCTTTTGAATCAATAATATCATGTTATCTTGCTTTTATTTCCTTAATATCACCTAAAAAATTACAAAAGCAATATTGCTTTTATTATCACTTCACTTTCTTTATCAACTTTCCCTTTAAGCAAATATTGGAGGGATGATGATGAACACAAATACCCAATTTCCAACAATATGATTCAAATAAAATGTTGTTGATGATGTACAAGTATTACTTTGATTTCCTGAATAGTGGAGATATAAGGAAGATAATCCCTTGTCAACCCCTTTGAGCCTAGAAGTTGGAGTTTCTTTTTGCATACAATTGAAACCATTTATATTAACCTGGGGCAGAGTAGTTGCTAAGTTAAAATGACTAATGCACTCGAATCCAAGAGAATCATTCCATCTCTACATGGATCATTCCCGATACCTTTTAATAGGTTCAACCGCATCCTCTCTTTGTACAGAATGTCAAAAAAGTAGTGAAAATTCAAAGCTTACAACCGTTGTTTCTCTTGAACCATCAACATGGAAGTCACAACAGTTCCAGTACAAACATTAGATGACGAATGTCACACAAGTTTTTCAAACACAAAAATGAGAAAGATGAAAAAAGAATCAAAGAAAAGCCCGCTAAGTCGAGAACATCAAATTACTTAGGCATAAATTAAGGCATCCCCCTGGATTGAAAGCTTAAAGGAAACAGTCTGGGCAAAAGTTAGGGATACGAAGAAAAAAAAATCAAAGAAAGATCACCAAAGATCCTTGACAAAAAAAAGAAATCAAGAACAAGTTTGTGTGACTTCCAAATAAGAATATTTGACTTCCACCTCAAAGAGCATTATTTCTCAAGCCACCATGTCGTCAATTGTAATTCCTCTTGGAAGCTGAATGTGTCTGTCAATTGACTGAACATAGGACTGGAGAAAATCACGAAGAATTGGGTGGGTTAAAATCAAAATTTGAGTATTATATTCTTTGTTTCATAAACCGTGAACCATGACACATTACAAAATTTAAAAGAGCTAATTGAAGAAAGGTTTTTTTAAATCATACTGCAACAACGTCGCGTTAACCTAACTCCTCAATGTTTGCTAAAACCATTAGGGTTGATACCACCTTACCACACCATTTTTCACTTCTTCAATTTCAAATTGACATTGCGTCATCATCAGGATTTACCCATGTTTTATTGCAATATTATTTCAATAAATGATTTAATTTTAAGGTTTGCTTAATCATCACATTAAAATTAATGTTTCAAAAAGAACAATTTTATCTGCAAGTCAACACTTGGTACCAAGGATATTTCAGCATATGAAATTGGTTAAATATGTTCAATCATTTGCAATTTAGTACCATCAAGGTCACCTCACTTCAAAAGTTTATCACTCAGGGGCAAGATATCCCAAGATCAGTTAATCAGGGGTAATCCTCTTCAGAACTCCAACCACTGGGGCATGTCATCTTCAGATTACCAAATGAATGTCAAGGTAGACCTCATCAAGAACCCAGGAGGTTAGGGCAAGACAGAAGAGTCAAGTTCTCTTCGTGCCTACAAAGCTTCTCCATCTACAACTTCTGAGTTTGAAACAAATGTCAGGAAGTCATGCTTGCAACATCCTACCAAAGGAACCTTCACCATAAGCCAAATCTGTACAAAACATTACCTACCTCAGGGGCACTTACCCGAGAATTCAGATCATTATCCTCAATCATATCTGCATACGTCATGCATTACCATCATGCATCGATCATGTCGTTTCACTTTAGCCTCATATCATGCATATTCACCTAGCATATCCCCCAAGCAGGAAATAATTTTCAAACAAACCTAAAAAAGAAAATCCAGCCTCATTAGGAACCTTAGATTAAAAAATCAGCCTCGTTTGACATATCACTTACTTCAGCCTCATTAGGCACCCCTCAAAAAACAACAGCCTCGTTTGACACCTTTTAAAATCCAGCCTCATTTGGCACCTTAAATCAAAAACATCCTCGTCTGGCATCCCTAAAAAACATCAGCCTCGTCAAACACCTTACAAAACCAGCCTCGCCATACACCTTTTAAAAGCCCAGCCTTGTCCGACACTTTTCAGAATTTAGACTCGTCTCGACACCCTTCAGAATCAAGCCTCGCCCGATACCTCAAAAAGGATCTTACCTTGTCCGATAAACCTATAAAAAAGCTAAATCCAACTTCCGATAACATTTTCAGTAAACAAAAGCCTAAACTCACATATTCCAAATCATTGCATCTTATACTGCATTCCCTGCATTCATAAATCTTCTTTCCAACTCTCGTCCGTGTTAATCCTTGTAGTGGTAAAATCAATGAAGTCGCTGTTGCATCCTAAATTTCGCCCCTACATTTTTAGTCGTATTTTCATATCATCCTTTGTTATTTGGTCACAATCTTCAATAAAAATCTTCATTCATCACATTTGCATCATTTAGTCGTGTTTAGGTTGACCAAAAATCAGTTTAAATCGACATTTACATCATTTTATAGTTGAAAAATATCTGATATTTCACTTCATACATTTTTATCTCTTTACTCGCTTCTTGCATTGCATTGACTTGTTTATATGTTGATAATATTGATATTTCAGTTTTATAGACAGATCGTTAAAAGCGATTCGATACTGTACGGAAAATTAACATGAAAATATTTTAAGTTTTCACCTTTTACTGACTATTTTATGAATCTACATTTCACGTAGATCCTGACGGTATGCTCGTTTTATTTTTTCGGTACAATTTGAAGTCTCATTCTTAACCGTAAGCGTTTGTTCAATCTTATATTTTTATTCTCATTTTATTTCGATTTTGACCATTTGAGTAATTTTTTATTAATCTTTGTGATCTGTAGTTTATTTTCATATATTAATTTCATTTTTCGGATAGTTTAATATTTATTTTTTATCATTTTTAGTCATTTTGAATATCGATTTTTTATTTAAAAATATTAAAACAAAAATATTTTAAATTACATTAATTTTTATACTTTCAAATTTTTGTATTATTTTTGTCAATAGAGTCATTTGCCATTGTAAAAATTAACTAAACCTATTTGATTAGGTTATAAAAGGTAATGTTGTTGTGATAACTTGAGGAGGCACCAAAAAAAAAATCCCAAAAAACCACTCTCATTTTTATTCCATCTTCATCATCATACTCCCTCTGTAAATAAACCCATGCTCACCACTACTCCATTTATATCTTCCCCTATTCCAGCTACCGAATCCCTTCTGTCCGCAAGCTGTTCATCCCTTCTGTAAACTCTTTGTTCCTCTATGAAAACCACCAAAACAGATTTCAACCTCACTTCCGCGAAATGTACTCAACAACACCGTAACATTACCAACCAACACTCACCTGCTATCTGCACACCCCTCTGTTTGATTCTCTTCCCAATCGATATCCACCAACAACACAATCTCACAGAACTCCCTCGGTCAATTTCCTCTTCATCATACTCACTCAATTCACACTACCACCGTCCTCCAAACAGCTTCCGCGTTTCAACTTCTCCTTTCCTGCCCACACACAGGAACGTACTCCCCAGTTATCATTTTTTCTCTTTGTTATATTTTCTTTGTCTTAGTTTAGTTTAGTTTTGTTTGCTTTATATATATAATATTATAATTTAGCTTTGTTTATTTAATTGTTTAGATATTATTTGTTTTATAATTTTATTAGAATTTAATGAAGATTTTAGAATAGAATATGGGCTTTTTGGTATTGGGATTTTATCTAAATCAATTTCTGTTGACAACTATTATCTAATATTCACATCCCCGTTATCTTAATTTTGTGTAAATAAATTCGAATTGTATTGTTGATTTTTTATTGCATTGTGATTTTAAAATTAATTTCAATTTAGCTCTTGAACACGTATGGATGCATAGACTTTGTTGACCGACTTATTTTGTGGCTTTCAATTCAATTTATTCTGGTCATATAGTTTATTCCTGGACCTTATCTGAGATTTTACGTAGTTTCTGTGTTGTTGGTTTTGTGTGTGTTTTATCTGATACATGATATATTGATAATCATCTGATGCTTTGAGCTTTATATGAAACACTGCGCTTATCCGACACATTGAGCTTACTTGATGCACGTCCCAACTTGTGATTTATTTTCACCTAATGCACTTTATCCGCTGCTTTAAGTATTATCTGACAACTTGGGTTTCTTTGATGTTGTCTGCTAGTGATTTATTTTCACTTGAGATTTGGTATATTATCGACTTATTTATCTATTTGTAGTTGTAAACCCAAAAGGATGGGAACATTGTATTGACTTTATCATGTTAAGTACCGGTTTCTTATTCAGTAAGATCCTCTTTACTTTATCTTTTACCCTCCTGTACATAAGATACTCTCTTCATCTCCTCCCATTCTTTAATCTTCAAAACCTTCTCATCTTTTTCAAAACCTTCTTTGTTTATAAACTTGAACCACTTTCATAATAAACCTCGACCTTTTCGAGTGTCTTTCCTTTTAAAACTTATTTTCTTTAAACAAACTTCAATTTATTTAATCATACTTTAACATTTTTCAAAATAACAAAAAATACTTCAACTCATTCAAACTTTTTGTGTGCTCGAGCACCTTTTACCTTTTAAAACTTTTTTCCAAGATTAGACATGGTTCATTTCTAGTCGAGTTATCATCCTCCTATCTCCATGGTTATAAAGGTGTCGACTTTTCCACTTGAGTACTAGAGGTGTTCTCAAGCCCTCACTCTTGCTGACACGTGGTCCATCTTTCTCACACCTTGTGGACGTTAGTTGATATTTCTCTCCTAAAAATGACGAATTGTCTCTTTATTTAAAATCAATCAATAGACAAGTCTTTTCTAGCCTAACTACGGTGCTTTGACTTTTCCATTGCACGAGAGAGTACGTAGGCACTAAGTCTTACGACCAAAGGTGAGCAAATATAATTAAAAAAAATATTTTCTTTTGCTTGCAAATACTCATTTATTCTTTCCTTTTAGCAAGTAAGCTTTTAGATAACAAACCTTTTGAAAGAAAACAAACAAAATGGATCCTGCAGAGTACCGTAGATGCTTAGGATGCTAATACCTTTCCTCAGCATAACCCATCCTCGTACCTCGATCTCTAATCTTTTATTTCATTTTGGATTTTGTTCGATTTTTCCCATTTCTCTTTGGAAATAATAAAGTGCGGTGGCGACTTCATTGAGTGAGATAAGTTAATTGATGGCTTAATCTCAAATCTTTACCGCTATATTTTTTCGCATTTTTACACAGTGCGAAAGTCACCACCGAGTATTTATTTATCCCACATAAAGAGAAAGGAAAAATCATCGATGAAAAATCTGAAGGGAGAAATCAAGGTCTTACGACCGAGAGATCGGGTACGGGAGTTGATTATACAAGGGGAAGGTATTAGCACCCCTCACGTCCGTAGTACTCTACGGGATCCACTATTGTAGTTCTAATCAAAGGATATGTTCAATCTAATGCTTAAGAGCTAAAAGAAAAATGCAAAGAGGGAATGCATACAAAGAAAACACGGGGAATAAAAGGAAATATTTACAAATTTTCGCTTGGCTGAGCCATGTGACCAGATGCCTACGTATCCCTTTTAAGGAATCAGAGCATTGTAGTTCGGCTCAATAGTTCTGATGGGTTGCAGTGTTTTTTTATGGATAATGCCATATTCGCTTGAAAGCTCGAACTATCCCTAATCAAGCAATCTCGAGGGAACATGGCATATACAAGGATGGAAAACAAACAAGTAACCAACAAGCTTAATTAGCAAATAAGTGCGAAAATGCCTGCTACAGGTCTTTAAACAACGACTTCGAGCACACACTCTTTATTATCCTACTTCTTATGATATCTAGAAAACAATAAAATGCAGAAAGATAAACTGGAAGCAGTATAATACCAAACGAACAATAATGTCTGTAAAAAACGTAACCAAAACAAAGAAAACCGAAATACTTCTCCCGAGCTAGCATCAACAAACAAACAGTCAAAGATTAAATGCTCGAAATAAGTGTCGGGGCATCATCGATGTAAAAATAAATCACAATTGAAAACTCAAGCATATTTGCATATTAAACAATAATCCTACACAAGACACAAATCTCGATAAGCAAAAGTGAATCACAAGTCTCAAGTAATCGGATAATCATGAGTTAAATCCTAGAATCAAATGAAAAATCTAACAAAGTTTTATTGATTTTATCATTTTTTATCATGGAAAGATATAGAAAAAGCAAAATTGGAATAAAATTAAACTAAAAGCAAAAATTGATCAAAAAGGAATTAGAAGAACGAAGGGGGGTGCAGACTGGATTTAAGGAGTATGGCTAGCAAACAGATTGAATCACTAAGTCAAATCTAAAATGGACCCAATAAAAACTTTAGGTTTAATTATGGGTGTTCGTGGTTCGGTTTGGATTGGTTTTAAAGCAAAAACTCATCCGATCCAAAGATTAATTCACTTAAGGTTCGGTTCGGTTTTGGATGATATATTTAAAAAAATTCAATCTGATCCGATCCAATTTTATGCGGTTTAATTTGGATCGGTTTTTGGATATCCAAATTACACATTATATTTTTATTAATATTATAAAACTACTAATAAATCATAGATTTGATATAATATATAACATATAGTATATTAAAAGTTAATATTACAAAATGAGAGTGATTGATTATGCTTGAAATAATAAAAATAAATAGATTATACCAAACTAATAAATATTATTAAAAAAATTATTATCATCTAATAATAAATTCACATAACATGTCATACTAATAAAAAGTAAATAAGTATCAAAATATATTTATGCGATTCGGTTTGGTTTGGATCGGTTTTGAAAAATTCATCCGAAATCCAATCCGAACCTATCGATTTTTATAAAATAACATCCAAACACAACCAATAACTTTCGGTTTTTTATGATTTTTGATTTTTTGAATCGGTTTTCAATTTTTTATTTAAATTGATTTGGATTTGATTACCCCTAAGTTTAATCTCTCCAGCTTCAAAAATCGTATTCTTGAGCCTAAGGCAAAGAAATGGTCCAGTCCACTTCTTCAGTCAAATACAAGTCCACCAGAGCATTTATTTTTTTATGAATTACAAATTAAATTAATTAAAAACTTAATGAAACAAATTGGTGGTGAAACGATGTCGTTTAGCTTGAAAAGGATATGGTTTATCACATGTGACACTTTAGCTTTTGTACGCACAATCTTCTTCTTCCTCACAACTTTCCGTTGCGGGTACCTTATCCAGTGAACCTCGACAATCCACCACCATCAGACAAATTCGTCCACCGCTTCAACCTTATCTTTCATATCCATACTTTGTTTCACGTCAAGGTTCGACGTTGTTCTGCTTCACCTTCATCATTCAACCTTCACTGCGTGCGATTCGCTCGGTTCTCCTCTTGAGTCCGTACCACCGCCACGATTCGATTCGTTCTCATCTCCGTCCGTCATCATCTCATCCTTTCTGTGGCTCGTTCTACTTCTCCGTCTCCGATTCAACTTAAGTTCATAAGTTCAGAAAAATAGATTTGATTATGATGCTTCAATGGGAAGTTGAGATAGATGAAGCTGGAGCGAGGTTCAGAGTGAGAGAGGAAGAAGAACGAAGGTTAAAGAAGGTTGAAGATGAAGATGAGAATTCTTCAAGAATCTCAGAGAGATAAGGAGGTGAGTATTTTGTGATGTTCTAAGAATCGTGAAAATGAATCCCCCTTGATTTCAATTTTATCCTTCTTTTATAACCGTAAAAGGTAGTTGCATAAGAATCAATATGGGCCTTAGATTTAGGAAGTCTGTTATCACAATGGATGGTGAGGATCGATTCTCATAAAATCTGTTGTGAGTTGAGCTGTAATGATTTAATTCCCTCTGTTTTCTGTTAAGCTCCTTTTCTAACTTATGATTTTTCTGTGTGTATATGATTCCCTGATATTTCTTCCTGAATATATTTTCCCATTAGTATTTTCTCATATTTTCTGTCTTTGGTTTGAAACTTGGTTATTTATTTTATTCCCTCCTTTTCTGTTGAACTGATACTTATAAAAATTGGTTTTCTCTGCGTCTGCAATATATTCAAAATTATGTTCCCTAGTTGCAAAACTTTGTTTAACCATACTCTCTGTTGAACCATTTTACCTTTCATGTTTCTCCAGGTATATTGTACATTTCAGAAGATAGTTCTCAGTGGCACAAATCCACTATGAAGTAAGCCTTCTATTTTTTCTGTTAAAAATTGCAAATTGGTTTTTTTGCTTGGATGAGCTGTTGGACTGTTTTTACTTATGAATTAATGCAGGGCTAGTGTGTGAACTTGCTCACTTTTCTTTTCCTATTTTGCAGCAAGGCATGCTCATGGCATTCATGTGAGCAATTGTTAATTGATTGAAATAAGGCTGTTTCGGTATGTTATCATGGTTGATCGGTTTTGGACAAGTTGAGAGGAAGCATAGGAATATGGTTCGGACATTTGAAGGCGAGGCATGAAGTTTGAATTATGGACATGAATTGGTGAATATGGAAGCACCAAAATGGTAGCCATTAGGTTTAGGATTAGGCATAGGTTTTATGTACGATTTCTTGATGTAATGTCTTGTAACTAAAATGAACAATTTTCCTTGTTTCTTGAATTTCAAAGAACTAGACTTGAACGAATCTAGAGGTGTTTGAGTTTCAATCTTCAATTGAATGAAATACTTGAATCCATGGCCTATATGGTTAATAAATCTCGAGTGACTTTGTAATGAAAGCATATTGGTATCTTTTGCATCTTTGAATAGAACTTTGTTCATGAATGAAGCTTTGAAAAAAGTCAAATTTTGATGATCTTAATGAACATTTGTAATTGTAACCTTGATGACATCTCATAATCGTGAAATGGATTTGATAATGGTGTATGCCTCATAACTTTCTTTATCCGAGACATCCGCATACATGAGTGTTCTAATCTTACACTTTTGAATTTCTTTTTGACATATCAATGTTGATGCCATAGCGAAACCATAAACCAAAACCTTGAATCACTTGGTCATATTAAACTCATAGCACATTTGGATGAACCCCTTAATCTTGAGTCCACATTACCTTGCAATTAGAACAACTTATCTCAATTGAATGACTAGTAACCTTAGTCCAAATTCTAACCAATCAATAGACATATCAAAGCAATCATTAAGCAAAATAACTCCCCTAGAAGAAAAATACCCTGCTCCCAAAGAATCCACAATTTTACATCTTGTGTCATGATTCATGTTTTTGCACTTTAAACCATAAAGGCGTCCTAGCTTGATAACTGTTGTACTCCAAAATTTGCCCTCTCATTTATCAAGACTTTTCTCACAAGACTTCTTTGACTCAAGACAAGATTAGGGTTTGGTCAGCTCAAGACATCTCATCTTGCACTGATAACCCAAAATTAGGGTTTGAGTTTGCACAAGGATTTTTGGACCATCAATGCTTCATGTGACTTTCAAACATCATTTTGGACCCCTGAGATTGCTCATGATAAGTTTCAAGCCTTGAACCATATTTTTGATCAGTCAATTGGACAGTTGACCTAAAAATCAACTGTATTGGGGAAAAAGTCAACCATGGCCAATTTACAGTCAAACTTCATAATTTTTGATCCACATCAACATTTTAGACTCATATGTACCTGTTGTACCCCAAAATTTGCCCTCTCATTTTTCAAGTATTTGCTCACAAGATATTCTAAGACGGTAAGTTTGCAGCTCTGATACATCAATTTAGGCTTGAAATTGGCACAAAGGCAAAATGGTCAATTGCATACTGGAAAGTCAAACTTTGACTTTTTTGGTCAACATTACAACCCAAAGATCAAATTTCATCAAGATATTCAAAAATATCAAGCTTGATCGTTAAGAAGTCAAGAGAATAAAAAATCCTACTTTGCAAGACTTTGAGATTTTTCTAAGTATTTTCTATACTTGGTTAAATTCATTTGCTTCATGGCATTTTACTACAACTCCAAATAATTCAAGATGATGCAAGTAATTCAAGTTATTACAAAGTGACATTTTTGTAAAATTACATATTCAAAAAACTATGTCTTGAGTAAAACCTTGTCACAATATTTTTGCCTTTGACATAATGAGCACAAGACCAATTTGTGACATGCTACAACTATGCTGTCCAAAATTGAAGAAAATATGATATATCACATGCTACAACTATGCTGTCCAAAGTTAAAGAAAATAGGATATATCACATTGCCACAAAACTTGTATTGCTGTCCTATATAATCCAAAATATGTCCACAAAACCAGTCAAAAACTGCTCTACGCAGTCTGCCCAAGCCTGCACCATGACAACCCCAAACTTGCACCAAAATGGCAAAGGAAATTTGTGTGCAGAAAGCATCAAAACAGCATGCAAAAACAATTCAAAATGAATTATTTGTTTCCCCCCTAAACCACAGGAAAGGGGTCTACAAAAGGAAGGTTGTCTCACAAGACAAAGGGTTGGATTCAGAAGAGAGGATAGAGAGGGAGAATAGAGAGTCTCATTGAGCAGAAAAACAGTATTCTTGTGAACCTTGACTGATTTTTTAAAATCAAATATGTTCTTGTTCAAAATAGAATCCCAACCTCTTACTCCACCACACAAACTCTTCCTAAGCCAAACACTTCATACAAAGTTTGTCTAAACATAAAAACAACTGTTGTGTTGCTATTCCTCTCCATCTCCAAAACACAAAAAACATCACAGTACAGTCCAACTCAGTTCTAACAGTCCAGAACAACTTCCTGAAGACTCACCAGGTTATCACATCACTTGGAAAAACATTCAGATCTAAAACAACCAGTGCAGCCCAAAGGTAAGTCCTTTTGACTAGATACCTTGTCATTTACATCATTAACAAGTTGTTGTTCTTTGAAAATAAGATGTAGTACGTTAATATCTTTTTGAACTAGTCATCTGCACTTTGTTTAGGCTTATTCAGTCATTTGTTGTTCATGTTTATCCATCATATACCATGAACTAACCTGTGCAGTCAGTGAAATAATGTTTAAGGTAGGAAAATGAAGCATGTATCGACACATATCCTCATGTGTCGACTCATCCTAGTGAAAAAACAGGGTATGAGTCGACACATAACCCTCATGCATCGACTCATATTGATTTCAGGTTACAAAACAGAAGTGGGAAAAGACTATGTATCGACACATACGCGCTTCGTGTCAATACAAGAAGGGTGCATGAGTCGACAAATCCCATTAGGTGTCGACTCATACTGAGTCATTTTTGTTTTACAGGAGCAGGGAAAAGCCTATGAGTCGATACATATGCGTTTCGCGTCGACACAAAAAGGGTGCATGAGTCGACACATCCCCTTATGTGTCGACACATACTGAGTTATTTTGTTTTGCAGGGGCAGGGAAAAGCTATGTGTCGATGCATAGCAACATGGGTCGACACATAGCAGTTCAAAATGCACTTTTCCTTTTTATTTTACACTGTTTTTACATTGTTTTCATCATCATTCAATATGGTTGTAATATTTCAGTCTCCACTTCATCCCCATTGTAAATTTGTACCCCCATCCCCCTAAAGTGATGTAATAGCTTAGGATTTATCTTCCGCATGTTTACTTGCTTTCATATATTGCTAGTAATTAGGATGTATGGCAAGATAAAATCAGCAAATAGATAACCTTTCAAATACAAGACAAAATGCATGCAAACTAACAGACTCGCACACTAACACCTCTAGGGAAACCTCACTTTGTCGCCATTCGGAAAATAGTCATGTCCCTCGAACATGGGCGTTTTAGCAAAGACCCTTCGATAAAAGATCGTAGTCCCTCAATGACCCTCGATGTTGCCTTCGGTAAACGATCTAGTCCCTAAAACGACATTGCTAAAACGTCCCATATGTTGCCTTCTATGACTATACAAACGTCCCAACGCCCGTCCCTTCACATCCAACGATGGGGCTTCTTACCAATTCAATGGTAAGATAGCAACATCTAAAGGAGGAGGAAAAGCACATTTAAGATCTTTCGAATAGGTAGATTCGCTCTTAGTTATTCGCTTGCTCACAACAAAAACATTTTATGCACCAACACTCTCACTTTGAAACATTTTCAAAAGACAAACACTTTGTACGCGTTCTTATAGAAATGAGAGCCATTACAAAGAAAACCCTTTTCAAAATCACTTTCAAAAACACCTCTTTGAATTATTTTCAAAACAACACTTTGTACGCGTTCTTATAGAAACGAGAGACATTACAAAGTTACATTTTCAAAATACTTTCAAAATCCACATCACAAGCACACATTCAAACAAAAGCAAGTTGATCTAGCAAGTAACTAAGAGCCCATGGAAAGCCATGGATGAAAAGGGTGCTAATACCTTCCCTTTTCATAATCTACCCCCCGAACCCAAGAAAACATCTCTAAAGGTCTTTCCTGTGCTTTTTCACCTTTCCTTTTTCGGATAAAAGAAAAGTCGGTGGCGACTCTTGCTAAACTTCAACATTTGCAAACACAAACGCAAAACCTTCAAGTCAGTTCTCCCACCGTATCACAGAACTGGCGACTCTGCTGGGGACTTATTAAAGTGGGGTTACCTTAGGGTTAGATCACATTTACTTGCTTACATTGTTTGATTTGCATGCTTTACATTATGGTTCTCTGTTTGGGCTTGCTTTAATCCTACACCCGGATTTGGGGACACCTTTTAGGTAAGTAGCAATAGACTGTGAGGGAACTGTGTAGGGTATACCGACATGGTTGAAGCAGTAGCTACGTTGATGTGGCACTTTGGTTGGTACCGGTAACCCTTGAGTTGAATCAGGGAGAGTACGGGGCCGCCGCGTGGTGTCGTGAAGCATCAACTGACCTTAGAACCTTACTTGACCAACTTGGCCATTAGGACGTAGTGAGATTATCGTTTTGGTGTAGAGCTGAAAATGGGTTGATACTCGATGCTACACTCATTGAGACTTGACCCCTGAGATTTGTTCGGTTGCGAGTCAATCGCTTATTGAACGAAGCTTGTGGGAAAGGTCAGTGATATTGAGATCCCTTAGAACCCGATTACTATTAACTAGGAAAGGTTGAGCCAACTAAACTTCAAGAGGGTACTTACCTACAAAATCCATGCAAGCCTAAACCTAAGGACTTGTCTGCTTTGTGTGAATATGATTACTTGTATATAAACTTGCTTACTTCGCATACTTGTGCATAACATCATAACATCATACCATAGCATTTCCAATAACCATTTCAAGGATCTCGAGGGTCTTTGATGCAGGTTCACAATGAACCAGATGTCTATCAAGGGGCAAGAGGATTTATTTTCCTATAACCAAATGCTGTCAAAGATCAAGTACAACAACTTGAGTCAAGGGCTATGACCCACTTGACATGGTGAGCTTGATTCTCGTGGAAGGACATCCACTGATAAAAAGTTCTCCAATCAAAGATGTTGATCAAAATTCAATCTCTAACTTTTTCTTGTGTTTACCTCGCGAGATCCTTGAAAACATTGCATATATATCATACATATCATTGCATAACAGGATTCATAACAGGTTTCTCATCTCCTCCGATGTTTATTTCAGCAATGGCTCTTGAACAAACAGTGAAAGACATCCAGGCTCAAAACGCTCAACTTCAAGAGATGTTCTTGAACCTATCCAAGGGGCAGGAAGAGTTGAAAGCACTCCTCGCTGGGAACCTAGCCAAGAAAAATCCTGAGGGCAACAAAGATGACCAGTTGGAACGGCTACAAACTGAGATAGCCATAATGAGGGTCCAAATGAT